AAAATTCCTCCCCATGGAGTGGTACCTCGACCCACACGTCTTTTGGTGGCTATGCTTTCAGTTGGTTGATCCATAGCTGAGTGCATTTGCCACTAATTTGAATACCAACCTTACTCTGTTTTGGTCCACTATTTCACATCCTATGGCTTTGATGTTCGATGCCCTCAACCAGAATTGGAGAGACTTCTACATTTGTGCATAGCCTCAGTCTTATTCCCAGAGTACTTTTCATTATCCAAACTACACTGTACTCATTCCTTCTCATGGTTCTGTTCTGGCCCACTCCACCATGGATCTGTTAATTCTTCCTCTTCAGGTTTCTCTTCCATTCATTCTTTCTCTTTCCCCTTCACTACTTCATCAACATCACTTGGCAGGGCTTCATCCTTCCATACCACACTCCAGATTCACATGTGGCTTTTGTCTGGGCACTTGCAAGAGGTTATGAATTTTCCACATGGGTAGCATTTTTTTATTTTCTCACACAGTCTGTCTCTCACCCTTGTTGATGTACCAGTAATTATTGTATGTTTTTGTCATTGGTTTCTTTGTTGTGGAATCTTCCCTTCCTCATCTGCTATATATTGTTACTCTGATTTTTTTATTTGGTTGTTCAACCAAGATCTCTTTTTTTTCTATTGTTGCTAGTTCTTGAGAAACATTATGCTCTACCTTTTGTTTTTCCCATTTACTTCATGCCTTCTCCTCTTCTATTATTGACTTTTTTGTTTCAATCCATTTGTATCCACCATCCTCCTCATCACATTCCCTTGCCAATTTGGATTTTCAATGTTGTCCTTCATGCCCTTTCACTTCCTTTCCTTGTTTCACCTCTCGATGGAGGCCTGTTTCCTACTTCTTTGGCTTGTATGCACCAATGGTTGGATGTTTGCCCTTAATGTTACTTGCACTCTTAACTGCTGTACGTATGTTCTCCTTTATCCTGATTATTCCTTCCTCCCTAGGACCTTCCCATTTCAACTCTTGGTCTGATCCAGATTACCTCATATGTCTGGTCAGAGCTCTGAGATGTTATGTAACTCACCCGGCTCCCTTCTGTGGCTCCTGCACCAGATTGTTTATCCACCGGAATCCTTTCATTTCACGTGTCATTTTTCCCATTATCCTCACTGGATGGATTCTTCAACTTATTAGTTATGCCTATTCTTCCTCGTGTCCTGAATCCTGTCAACTCTTCCGTGTATCCTCTCTTCTGATTCATATCCTCCCTCTGTTCTTGGCTGCTCATTTCAATTTCTTATTTTGAGAGATCATCCAGGCTGCATGTGGACTACTACTCTCATCTATGTGTTTCACTATTTCCATTGCCTTGCAGTTTCTTTCTTGCCCGGGTATCATTTTCATCCTGTCGCCATCTTACACCATTTGGTTCATCTTTGAGTGTATAAGTAATTTTTGCTAATGGTTTCTTTTCAGTGGCCTTTTTTGCACATTATTTGATTGTGCTCTGTGGTGTCTGTCCTGGTATACTATATGAACTAACAGGTCTATAATTCTCAATGTTGCAAGTTCATCTTCATGGTATGTTGCTTGATAAATATGTTCATACTAGACAATACACTCATGGACTAACATGAGTAAAGTAGACAGGAATTGCTTCCTATCCCTGGTATTCCTTAGATTGACTGAATCAGAAATGCACTGTTTAGTAATGAAAGTGGGAAGATTTTCTACAGTAGTGCCATCATTTTGGAGTAGAATCTTTGTTTCTTGCTACTCCTAAGTTGCATGTCTTCTTTTGTTTCCTCTTTGAGAAAAGAATGCTGCAGTTTCTGCCAACTTATGGGCATATTCCATTGTCATCATTTCAGGTGTACCGATTTCTCAGAGTCGTCAATAGGAGCCACAGATTAACTCTTTCAGCAAGGGTTCGGTCCTTTGGACCAACCTCGTAACCATTTTGTGCTTGTTATAATTTTCATGCTATAACTTTTAAATTAGTAAGTGTACACAGCGTGGTCACAAGTAAATAGACACCACCTTTTCAAAAAAAATTAAATTTTTCAGTCATATTCACATGAATTGATATATTTGTAATTTAATTAATATCTAGTAGATCTTCCTTTCGCTTCGTGGAGTTCGTTGATCCTTTGGGGCATCGTGAGAATCATCTCGTTAATTTTAGATTGTGAGACTTTTGCTCACTCTTGCTTCAAAACTTTTGATAGATCGCTCTTCGAAGTTGGTTTTCTTGGTTGTTTCTTGACTTGCCGGTCGAGTATGGCCCAGAGGTTTTTGATGGGGTTCATGTCAGGAGATTCGCTCGGCCAGGGCAACTTCTGGATACCATTTTCTTCCTGCCACTTTTGGATGTTTCTAGCAGTGTGACACCATGCTCCATCTTCCTGGAATAACGTTGTGTTCTTGTCCACGAAACCCGAGGAATAAAGTGGCAAGAGTCCTTCCTCCAATATTTCGACGTATTTTGCAAAATTTATGTTACCAACACACTCTTCTAAGCTCGATCTCCCACCAACCCAAACAGCTCCCCAAACCATCATGCTGAAACCACCATGCTTCACAGTTGGCTGCAATCTGTTGAGCCAAAACTCTTGGTGAGGCATTTTCCAGACCCATATCCTTCCACTGTCTGAAAATTGAGCGAATCTTGCACTCTTGTTTCCGTATCCAATAATATAAAATTGACCTTTAGTCTTTACAAAGTGACCTGTCTTGGCTGTGTTTTAGTACATTAGTAGTTTGTAAAATACAGTGAATTTCAATTATTATACATTATATATATAATATATACAATTATTTTTGAATTATTGCTATTTTGAAATAAGTTCTTAAACATATTTTTCATAAAACATAGAACAGTAAATAAAAAAAGTAAAGCAAACAATTATCTCTTCTAGTTACAACTTTTGTACTTGGTTGCTGCTTTATGTAGGTTGCTAAGCCTTTAAAAATTTTGCACGTGGAGGATATGAAACAAAATATTTTTTTTAGGTTTTGGATATATATTTGAATAATTAAAAAATCATAACTTACTACATCAATACTATAGAATTTCACTATAATTTATAAAGCTTAGTATCCTACCTCATTGAAGCATTGGTTCAAAAGAAATAAATGGCGCCAAGTTTGTTAAATTGGCTGAGAAAGCCACTAGTAGACATTCTGAGCTTTTGATTGGTTATTCATGTCGTATACAGAATTAAGTGT